AAAAAAAAAAACAAAATTTTTTTTGAGCCCTCTAGAAATGCATTTAGAGGGCAGTGCCCATAGTTTGGTGGGTAGGGCACTGGCTCCATATACTGAGGCTGGAGGGTTCCAACCGGCCTGGGCCAGCTAAAACAACAATGACAACTGCAACAACGAAATAGCTGGGTATTGTGGTGGGCGCCTATAGCCTCAGCTATGTGGGAGGCTGAGGCAAGAGAATCACTTACACCCAAGAGTTTGAGGTTTCTGTGAGCTGTGACGCCACGGCATTCTACTGAGGGCAACAACTTGAAACTCTGTCTCAAATGTGTATATATATATATATACAGAGAGAGAGAGAGAGAGAGAGAGAGAGAGAGAAATGCATTTAGAAATATGAGAATTCTTGAAAGTAGAAGTTCTCCTCCAGTCTCCCATAAGTAAAATGTTGCTGGAATGTGGTGCATTGTAAAATACTCCTTGTAATAGTTGGTGCTGGATGAGCTGGTCTCCTTTACTTTCCACTTTATCTCCACAGGGTGTCACGAATTATCTGCTTTCATTGATTCCGAGGAGCACACTTCTCCTATCTTAACGTCTCTAAATCAGGATTTGTCTTCTAATCCACAGTGTGTCGTATTTAATAGACAGTGTGTTTTCTTTCTTTAGTATCCAGACTGAGGGCATTTTAGATTTAATAAAATGTGTTCATTTAGGGGCTGGGGAGGCTGTGGCCCTGTGTTGTAGTTACTTCTTTCCACTTATTGGAAACACCAGTGTTCTCAAGGGGCTCATTCTTCAAAGTTTTACTACAAATTTGTTTCCCAGCCTCAGATAGTTTTCTATAATCTCATCCATTTGGGGGGAAAGCTAAAAATCTGTGTTTTTGCCAATGTTTTACGTGTTAACATCATAAAACAAAAATACCACCATGTGTTAATATTTCTATCTGTGTGGAAGAATACTGTAAATTATAAAAACCAAATGATTCTCTTGTAATGCTAAACTGGTTGATCTTCAAACTTCAGTTTAATTTAACTACTTTCACTCATTAAGTCTCAAGGGATTCAACTCAGGCTCATTATAGTAAAAGAATACAAAATCAATTAAATAATATTCATGTGATGCATATTTCCTGCTTAGAGCTTTAAAAGTGCATCTTTTTTTTTTTTTTTTTTGCAGTTTTTGGCCAGGGCCGAGTTTGAACCCACCACCTCTGGTATATGGGGCCAGTGCCCTACTCCTTTGAGCCACAGGCACCACCCTTTAGAAGTGCATTTTAATGTATTATGTTCTTCCAGAACAGATATATGATTATCCATCATTAGAAAATGTCCATCTAATTATGAGGATTTCAAAAACTCTCCTATCTCCAAAAGAAAGTAACATTTTTGCCACTTGTAGAATCTTTTAGAAACTTGAAAGCTTTGTTGCTTAAATTCTTTTTTGTTTTTAAATAATCCAATGACAATTTCCATTAATGCATTAATTAAAGGCCTTTCATTTTGAGAGGCAAATTTTGATTTATGGGTAAAATATGTATACTTAGGAGAGACCAATAAATCCATAGCTTCTAGAGAACCCACAGGGATATTTTATGAAGTATTTCCTAATGCCTTTTCTGAAACCAACTTTCGCATTTATCTTAAAACCTTTTCAAGTATATGAAATATTTCACATGCACTTTAAAACTTCAACTTTAACTCTTTAAAAGAAACGTCTAAAACCACGACAGCTATTAACTTGTTTTCTTTAGTTGTCAAGGCGTATTCTAGCTAGTATTTAATTCAACTTTTTATTTTTATTGAGCAACCATCATAGTAGCGGGAGAATTTGGGACTTCGTTCTAGAGTTAATTGGTTCTCATGGAAAAACAGTGTAAGATTACAGTGAATTTGTTTTCTGGTTATGGAAGCAGTGTATGGTCATTACGGAGCGTGTTAGAATATATAAAGCACAATAGAACCTCGGTAAGTTAACCAACCAAGGGACTGTACCAAACTGATTGGCATACAAAGGCGGTCAACACAAGGAACTAGGCCTTCTGTGCTGATGAGTACGTGTGGTGCACGTCCAGCCTTTGAAAATTACGTTAACTTAAGGGGTCAATGTAGGATGGTGGTCAGCTATGGAGATTCTACCGTATACATAAAGAAAAAACCATCCAAAATATAAGCACATTAAAAATAATCACAATTAACATTTTGTATTTCCTTACTGTCTTTTTGTGTACATTTTATTTATTTATTATTTTTTAATTTTTGGAGACAGGGTCTCACTATGTTACCCTCGTAAAGTGCTAAGGCATCACAGCTCACAGAAGCCTCAAACTCTTGGGCTCAAATGATCCTCTTGCCTTAGCCTCTCAAGTAGCTGGGACTACAGGTGGCCACCACCACACCTGGCTATTTTTTTTTTAGAGATGGGGTATCATTCTCACTCAATCTGGTCTTGAACTCCTGAACTCAAGCAATCCACCCACCTTGGCCTTTCGGAATGCTAGGGTTACAGGCGTGAGCCACCACGCCAACCTTCATGTACATTTTAATATAAGTATGTATATTTATAAGCCTGTATATAATCTGATATAAGTAGTCCTCACTTTATACACAGTTTATATTTCTTAACATTAAATGATAAGTATTTTCACATCTCATTAACTATTATTCACCATCTTATTTTTTGTTATTGCATTCCCTTTATGGATACAAAGTAATTCATCTGTTCCCCAATCATTGGATATTTAGATTGTTCCAACTTTTTTGCTATTATAAATTCCATCAAGCATAAAACTGATACAACTGAGGTACTACTGAGAGAGAGGAACACAAGTACAAAAGTAAAAAGCTGAGATTCCACTTAGAGAGAGGAACACAATGGTGATGGGCCGGGCAGCCTAGACAGTGAGATACAAATCAGAGACCTTGTTGGAGGAGAACCAGGACGGAGGTAACCTTAAGTCCCAGCTGTAGAAACACAAAGGAAGTGACAGCTTTGAAAACTATTGTGTGAGAAACTGGTAGGACGTGGCAAATGATGAGCACTAGAGGGTGTGAGTCAAAGATCACGTCAAAGTTTCTTGTGTGCGATGAGGAAACTGGCTTCATAATCAGACACTGTCAGATTTCAAGGTGGGACTAGCGTGTGGAGTGTTGTCCCTTTGCCCTGGCCCCACTAGTCACCTGTGCAGAACTGAAGTTTGATAAACTCTTGCAGCTGGAGATGAAAATACAACATAAATAGATGGAGAACGCACTTGTGAATCCATGGGAACAGGGGATGCGTTTGAGAGTGATTCCGCACAGGTAGACGAAAGCCAGACCCAGCTGAAATCTTCCTCAATGACTCATGTTTTAATGAAAAGAAAGGGATTAGAAGCAGTGAGGGAAGAGAAGGCTGAGAGAGAAAGGGGAAGAGGGAAAGGAAGAGGATGAATTAGAACTCCAGTGAGACAGCTCATGGGTTCGAGACCAGCCTGAGCAAAAGTGAGACCCTGTCTCTACTAAAAATAGAAAAACTGAGGCAAGAGGATCACTTGAGCCCAAGAGTTGAAAGTTGCTGTGAGCTATGACATCATGGCGCTCTACCCAGGGCGACAGCTTGAGACTCTGACTCAGAAAAAAAGAAGAAAAGAAACCTAGAACCTTCAGAGAAATAATTTATAGAAAGGGATTAAAAAAAAAAAAACTTTTTTTTTCAGGCAGCCTCTGAGGAAAGTGACCCAAATGGTCAAGAAGATGAGAATGATGGGAGGAAGCCTGGAGAAGGGAACACAGAACTTGTCTCATCAGGTTTGTTTCATAACAGACTAGTTTTAAGATAAATCTTGACAAATCTTAAGTTATAGTGGAAATAGAGTCTAGAATTTTTTCCTACTGAGCCACAAAAAGGTGGGTATTAGACTCTGCAAGTGATGTGGTTGTGCTGCCACCTAGTGGCTTCCTGGGGGAAATTCTGCCAGTGTGATTAAAGCTGCTATGAAAACAGGAGCCCGGGCTTTTTTAAAGAGAGTCAGTTTTGTTTTGTTTCTTGGAAGTCATATCTCTGTGATCACAAAGGATATTGTGTCTCGGCGTGTAAATATTGCTAAAAATTGAGGATCAGATTTATCACACAATAACAGCAATCGATAAGACATGGATTGAGAACATGACAACAGATGCTAAATGATAAAGCTCGTGAATAGCTTGAAAGAATAACACCGTGAATCTGGACAGTGAGTGTGAATATGCTGGATCCATTGCTTAGAGAATGGGGTCTGCTGTTCTGTAAGGTATTGTTCGATGTTTTGCACAGTCTTATCAATATTTTTAATGCATTTCTTCTTTTCGTAGACATTAAAACTTCTCATTCTCTCCCAATACCAAATTATTTTTGAATGTCATTTAAAATAAATTAAATAACCATTTAAAATGATAGCATAGGGCAGCACCTGTGGCTCAGAGGAGTAGGGCACCGGCCCCATATGCCGGAGGTGGCGGTTCAAACCCAGCCCCGACCAAAAACTGCAAAAAAAAAAAAAAAAAGAAAAGAAAAAGAAAAATGATAGCATGTATATTTTCAAAATAGATTGTGCTTCCGTGTTTTTTAATTATATTATTTATTTATTTATTTATTTTGGGACAGAGCCTTACTCTGTGGGTAGAATATCATGGTGTCTTAGCTCACAGCAACCTTAAACTCTGGGGCTTAAGCGTTTCTCTTGCCTCAGCCTTTCCCGTAGCTAGAACTACAAGCACACACCACAATGCCCAGCTGGATTTTCTATTTTTCAGTAGAGATTCGGTCTTGCTTTTTTTTTTTGCTCAGGCTGGTCTTGGGTTCTCCTGAGCTCAGGCAGTCCACCGACCTTGGCCTCCCAAAGTGCTAGCCTTACAGGTGGGAGCCACCGTGCCAGCCTGTGCTTCCACATTTTGTTACGCCTCCTAAGCTGCTGACTTCTCTACTCCCTTGGAAGTGCATCTAATTCTTCCCTGTAAACCAGAGAACGCTTTTATCTTTATCGCATAATACATGTGTGTAGACATATATATGCATATAAATCTACATACATGTGCGTACGTGTATATGTAGCTCACAAGCCTTAACACATTTCAATTTAGAAATTGTGATGTTAAAAAGGAAGATTGAAACAAGAAGGGAAGAGCCAGGTTGCCGCTCAGTAACTAGGGTAGAAATTAGCCCTGGGCGTTCTCCTGTGCGGCCCAATGGTTGTAATCATTATCTTATGTCAGTATTTTGTTTCATGTAATGTAATACAGATGTAAATGTGACCTTTATTTAGAATTTCAGTTTTCGGCTGAGCACCTGTGGCTTAAGTGGCTAAGGCGCCAGCCACGTACACCTGAGATAGCGGGTTCAATTCCAGCTCAGGCCCACCAAACAACAACGATGGCTGCAACCAAAAAATAGCCGGGCATTGTGGCAGGTGCCTGTAGTCCCAGCTACTGGGAAGGTAGAGGCAGGCAGGAGAATCGCTTGAGCCCAAGAGTTGGAGGTTGCTGTGAGCTGTGATGCCACAGCACTCTTTACCCAGGGTGACACCTTGAGGCTCTGTCTCAAAAAAAAAAAAAAGAATTTCCGTTTTCATAGTGAGCTTCTTTTGATCTGTCTTATGTTGCTTGATACAATGAAAGAGCTTTGAGAAATCCGGCATCTTGGGCTCTGATATCCCCATCATCACACCCTCATCCAGCTTCTTACAGCCAGGACAGGGTATAGACTAAACACACTTCACGGCATTGCAGAGTAAATAGCCCTGTAATGTGGCTGGCTTTTTCTTCTTTACATGTCTTGATGTAACACCATTTCAGAGCTGCAACATTTCACAACGACTGTGACTCGATGCAGCCCGACCGTGGCCTTCGTGGAGTTTTCCTCCAGCCCCCAGCCGAAGAACGACGTGCCAGAAGAGCAAGGGCAGAAGAAACCCGGCAACGAAATGAGCGGAAAGGTGGAGCTGGTGCTGTCGCAAAAGGTGACGTGCGTGGGAGTCACGTGGCTAAATCCAAAGGTCACCGCGGCCTCACTGGCACCAAGGGCTGTGGCTGTCGTTGCTAACAAGATTTATTTTCTCTCCTGTGTCTTCTTCTATCTTTAATCTATAGCTTTTCTAAATACAAATATACTACATGCTCACTGTGAAAAATTGAATACCTAGGGTGGCCATAAAGTTCATGTGCAATTTAAAATCGTTTATACCACCCTGGATATGGTATATAGAAACGGATATAAATATGTAACAAATATATCAAGTCATATGTATAAATATATTTCTAAATTTACAAATGAACTAGAACAAGAGGAGCAAAATCACTGAGACCTACTCAGTAGCAGTTGGTATATATTCTCTTTTGTTTCAAAGAACTTGATACATTTAGAAAAATATGAACTATAACTATGTTATAAATCCTTGCATTTAGGTTTTAGTTTTCTGTGTGTGAGCTTGCTTGTTCACCTGTCAGCTTACTGAATAGTCTCTAAGGTTTACCTACTTCATGGTAATGATCCTGACGCCTCTGGATTCGAATAACAAGAAACCTGGAAAACCATTATTCTGGCATGATGGGTTTTAAAGTCTTGTTTTAAATTAATTCTTCCTGGTTCGGAGTCTCACATCATTCACATTAGTCTGACTTGTTTTCAGGTACGATTGAAAAATTTTCATCATTTATACCAGTGGTTCTCAACTTTGACCTACCTTGACTTTAAAAACTACCAAGCCCATTCAAGACCAGATAAATCTTTAAAGAAAGGACCAAGGCATCTCTATTTTTTTAAGGTTCCCAGGCAATTTTAAGGGGTCACCAAATTGAAAAATTATTGACTTACACACGTGGCAGATTTTAAAAATTACACATAAATTTGGATTTTACTTTAAAGTGAAAAATTTACCACTTCTAGTTCTACTTCATCCATTATTTACTCAGCCGGTATTGACTGTGCACCTACTATGTGCCGGGCACGGTCTAGGTACAGGGTATTCAGCACACAGCCTCTGGCCTTAGGAGATGAATGTGTTCTTGGTAAAAGGCCTGTTGCTTCAGTGCATTTTGGATATTTCATCCTTATGTTTCTACACAGAGAATGAAGGAATGGTTTGTAGGTCCATAAAGGGGAACTGAAATGTAGGTCAAGTGTTGCAGGGGGGCAGAATTTCGCACCTTCTCAGGATTGGCCTTATGTACATTATACTTGTACCCATGACTTAATTATTGTTCTTCCAAAGTCATTATTCTTTACACTTAAACCTAAGCTGAAAGGAGAATTCTATATCATTTCTAGAAAAAAATTTTTTAAGCAAACTAAATGAATACCATAACTTAAAATAGTCACTGTGCGCCTCATCTGTGTCATCTCGTCGGCGTGATCTGTCTTTGGGCCACCAGTGTCACTTGTACCCAAATGTGGAAAAAACTGTTCTCAGGGGTTCTTTGGTTGGTTGGTTGTTTTTCTTCTTTGACTATCTGGTAAATGTTATTCTCAGAATACTTTTTTTAAAAAGGATCACCAAGTTATTCTTGGGATCCAGAGGTACCAAGTACATACACCCCCGGATTCTGTTCTGTAGATTCCAAGACCTGCTGGCTGATTACCAAGTGGAATGGTGGCCTTGAACTCACTGCTGTTCTCACTTTCACCATGTTAATTTCTCCCTTCTCTCCCTTCCCTCTACAGTGAGGGATTAGGTAATGGAGAAACGCGCTCAGAGTAGTTGCAACGGCTCTTATTTTCTGATTTCACTCAAACGTGTTACATTCGTAAAGCAAAACACCCAGGCATACAGGTGACCTTTATCCATAGTGGGCGTTTTGAGCATTTCTGCTGACCATCAGCTGGCTCGTTTACAGCCAGGAATTATCTGAAACAAGGTTTTGCCATTACTAGCCTTGAGCCTCATCAACTTTAGTAAGTCTACCTTAGCTTCTGCTGGTAACCACTAAGTTCATTGGACGTCTGTTTGACCTCTGTGATGCAGAATGAGGTGATGAGCTGTGTTTTCTTCAGGATTTTTCAGAGTTAAGTGTATTATTTATAAAGAAACATAAAATCCTACAGAGGATAAATCCTAACAATTTATTCTGAGGACTGAATAATAGATCATCTAATGATGAAACAAGTATTCTGCAGTCTCTCTCACCATGAGGTCATTAGCTATCAAATTAATTCATTGGGAACACAGGCACTGGCCAGAGAGTGAATCAGAGAAGTCCTACAAGCAGTTGAAAGGACGGGAGCTTAACATAACTATGCTTATCATTCGGACCCATGCCCCGGGTCTACTGAATCTGATTTTAGTTAGACATTGTTTTAATACCTTTGGCAATCTGGTCTTTCAGCAATCAATTGATTAGAAGCCTCAAATCAGAAGAAAAGTGTTCTGCTAATGCTCATTCAGATTAGGGACAAACTACAGTTAATAGCAATAACATGAAAAATCTATTTCTAAACATGCGTAAGAATTTGGAAAACCTCGAATCTTAGAACTATTTACCATAAAGCTAAGTCGTCTAACATGGTTCACAGATTCCCTGAGGGCATCAGTGTGTGATACCTTTTGCCAGTGGTCATTTGTATATAATAATGCTTCTTTATCAGCAGGCAATGTATATTGCTCTTTGAATTGTTTTGCATCGGTTGATGGGAGTTAATAGAGTGTCTAGAGAATAATGTACCTTAAAAGGTAATATTCTGTTAATGTTGAGCACTTACTAAAGTTTTTAAAAAATTATCTCGTATGATAATTTTTTATCACCTCATTTCCTGACATAAATTCAGTATTGTGTGGTACTCAGGATAGAATATGTGATTGGTCAATGCAAACATGAGAGAGAGTGATGCCCACTTCCAAAGATGGAAATACTGTCTCCTGGGTTTGGAGAAAAGTGATCATCACATTTTTGTGCTCTTATTTGATTTCTCTGAAAAATTGACGCTCTATTACTACAGAAAAGCACGAAAGTGTTTTAGGGAGGGGGCAAAAAACTTCCCTTTAAAAGTTGAATGTGTGAACTTACTGATTGCTGTGATGGCCTTGAACCCTTGAGTTTTATTTCTCCTGTACATTTATTAGTGAGCAATACTTAGAACATCTTTGTCTGTTGCCCACTGTCCAGGTGGTAAAGCCAAAATCTCCAGAACCAGAAGCAACCCTGACATTTCCATTTCTGGAAAAAATGACTGAATCCAACCAACTACATTTGCCAAATCTCAATTCTCAAGGTAAAGAAAAGGAAATGTTTTACTTGAGGTCTTCATATTCTGCTGAGACCATGTGAAGAAAAATAATGATTAACTTTAATGGGAGATTATGTCTTTTTTTTTTAAATTAAATCATCACTGTGTACATTAATGCAGTCATGGGGTGCAATGTGCTGGTTTTATATACAATTTGAAATATTTTCATCAAACTGGTTAAGATAGGCTTCATGGCATTTTCTTAGTTATTGTGTTAAGACATTTATATTCTACATTTAGTAAGTTTCACATGTACCCTTGTAAGATGCACCATAGGTGTGGTCCCACCGATTACCCTCCCTCCACCCATCCTCCCCCCTTCCCT